ATAGTCCATCTCAACATCTACTGTGGTGTAATTCTGCTAATTTTCTAATTATTCAGAGAGGAAACAAGGTATAGGAGATAAAAATAAAAATTAATTTTCTTTGTTATCTTAGAGCAGAAATCTTGGGTCTTCACCAAGAAGCCAAAAAGAAAAAAAGGCCGTTTTATGGAGATAGAGCCACCCGTGCAAATCTGTGCAGTGACACTTGTTAGTGTTTGGACATTTTCCTTAAGCTTAATAAACTTTTAACAACCCTGTCATCCAGAACAGCTACCGATGGGACAAGAGGAAATGGCCTCAGGTTGTGCCAGGTTGGACATTAGGAAGAATTTCTGCACGGAAGGAGTAGTGAAGCACTGGAACAGACTGCCCAGGGAAGCAGTGAAGTCACTGTCCCCAGCAGTGTTCAAGAAACGTGTAGAGGAGGCGCTCAGGGACATGGTTTAGCAGGGATGATGTCAAAGGGTTTGTGGTTGGACTTGATGATCTTGAAGGTCTTTTCCAACCATGATGACTCCGTGATTCTATGTGTATCGTGGCTTAAAAGCAGCTCTTCTCAATATCTGCTCTTTATTCTTAGTATGTGTTGTCACTCTACAGGGAAAAATAGATATCAGGAAGGACCGGTGAGCAACTGCTGGTCCCTTTCAGATCTATCAGTGACCTGTGAGCCCAACAAGCTCAACTCAGTATTTCTGCTCTCCTTGCTGAAATTTCTAAATCTTTATTTTTTTATACCTGACTATAACAAATAGAAATTTATCAGATAAATACTTTAAAGTATTTAATACATATTAAAAAAAAAGAATATTTTAATCTGAGTTGTGTGTAATGTACGTGATGGAAATCTGTTTATACGCATATACCGTAAGGCTTTTTGGTGGCCTGCGCCTACCTCAGACAGCCAAGAGCTGACAGCGTGACCTGTGACACTACTAGGAGGGTTGTGTATTTATGGAGCAGACATGTTCTTGAATTCAGCGTGTCCCTGTTCACTTCCCAATCCGCTAGCAGGTGGGAAGCATGGCTGCCACTAAATCCTGGGACCCAGTAGGGACCGGCCATCACATGGACGCGTCAGAGCACTGAACGTTCAAAATTCACAAGGAACTGTTTGCAAATAAAAGGTTCCCAAATTAGAAGGAGAGAGTTTCAAAGTGCCCGCCAGATGTGTCCCTACCTTACAGGACTGTGTTGGTTACTGGCACCTCTGATCTCTCCCCAGCGCAGTAGAGCGTGGGGCCAAATTGCTCTTTCCTTCTTATTCCACCTTTTTTCTCCTCTAGTAAGCGCTTAGTGAGACGTGTCCTGTCTTAAGTGAGGGTGTACCTGTCACGTAGTTGTTATCTGCTTCTAGTTGTGGATGTTAGAGTAGGTTGTACAACCAACTAGCAGTCCATCTACACAGTTCTATTTTGGGGAAATTAAGAGTGCGCTATATCAGAAATAGGTGTTTTCATTAGTTAAATTACTTTCTGTTTAGTTAAATTACTTTCTCTTATCCTCATGAAACTTAGTAACATTTCAGTGGTAAAGAAATGTCTCCTTTGTAAAATTCCAGGTTTGACAACACCTTTAGTATTGTAAAATGCTCATTTAACTTTGAGTTAGTTTTATTATATCAGCTAATATTGTTAGATTAGGTTGTTTTTGAAGAATTTTTGAATTTGCAATTTTCAGCTTGTAGTGGATTTTTAAAGCTGTTTTTCTTTTTTATAAGGGTTTTACTTTTAAAAGTTCAAGGAGTTGTGCTGTTAGCGAATCTGTAATTATGAAAGATGAGGGTACGTGAAGTCTAAAATTATTTGCGTTAAAATCTGTCATGTAAGGCTAACTTAATGAGACGAAGGACAGAGGGAAATGACAACATAATTCGCGTTTTATGTTATTTAGCAAGCTATTTTTGGCACATCTGAGATTTCAAAAGAGCAAGGGGAAGCCGGGTTTTGCTTTAGCTTACATGAGCCGTTCAAAGTGAACCACTGACACCTGCTCTGGAGCATCTCAGAGTAACCCAGTTATTCTTTTAATTGTGAAAACAGTACTGTTTTGTAAGTCACCAACGCAGTGTCTATAGCTGGAAAATGTATTAGGTGGGAAGGCGACTGGCACGGATCCGGCAGGACGGTGTGAAACGTGACCTCGTGCTGGAGCAGGTAGGTGCCCGAAGGGTTGTGGCCAAGGCGTACGGAGTTCTTGGTGCCGTTTTGGTAGGTAGGCCCCTGTTAGCACCCCTGCCTCCTTTACAGGCACAGCTGGAAATCTCTCCTCAGCAAAGGCTTCACAATGCAGTAGTGCAGCAGGAGCTTGGGAGCAGGATGAGGCATAACTAAAACTTGGCGCCGTTCGTCAAACGCGACCAAAGCATCTTCTTGGATGCCTAATTCCCTCTGCCCGCTCGTTCGCTCGCTCCCTGTGCGCGGTCAGCTGCAGCAGAGCTCTCAGGCGCCACGACCAGTCATGACATTTCTCAGTGTTGAGGATTTTGGGGACTGTTCTGCACTGAGCTGCATCATCTGTATGTATAAAGACATATCTGAAATAGTTACATCTCATTGGGGAAAACGTATCAGGAGATGCAGGAAGTGTATGAGATTTTCTGGCTGTGGACCCAGTATATGTTTGCCGAGTTGTTATTTCTGTTATCTATATTTCTTTGTTTAAGATTGCAGCCCGACATGCAAGTGGCTGGGAATGTCTGAAGGAACAGCCTTTTTTTTTTTGTTTAATAGAATTCGGCTAAAGAGTTAAAACACTCAATCATTCTGGCTATCAAATGTAGCAGGCATTCAAAATACTTAACTTTTCTGATTTTCCTAATTAATTTATTTTTTTTCTCTGTGAGCTATGATGATTGTGTGAAATATGCAGATATAATTCTTTTAATGTTGACACTTTTGTTGTTTGTATACTTCAGCTTAGATTTTGATGGCGAATCTTTTCCATCCACTCAACAGATGAACTCTGTATCATAATAATGGGTGTATTTCTCAGCAAAAGGCAAATGAATTTGATAGTCAGTCTATATTTTTGACTGGTTTTTGGTAAAATATTACAGCTTAGTTTACGGGATTAATTTTTCAATGTTTAATTTTTCCTGTGTGTTCATGTGATTTATCAACTATCATGAAATGTTGTAAGTAGTTTATTCTGTCCCTTTTCTGTAAAGAAATAATCTGGAAGGAAATAGGAAGATGGTTAGATGTCCTTTTTCCAATTAAGTTGGTAAAAAGCTAGTGAAGGCCGGTTCTAGCTCTGAGTTGCTTGTGTTCAGCAGCAGGTAAATCAACGCAAAGGAAGCTGCGTATAAAACTGCGTTCAATATGGCTGTGTGTCCCCTCGACCCGAGAGGAAGGAGGAGGAAGTTGGATGTTTCAGGCCTTGCGGTGGCCGCTCGCGAGGGTGCCCTGCACACGTGCGCGGGAGCCGGTTTGAGGCGGTCCCCAGGACTGCTTACGGGGGAGAAATCAGGCAGTTTTCGTGTGAAAGGGGGATGTCCTGCCAGGTTTGAAAAGCAGAAACACAAAGCTAAAGAATCAGGCTTCAACTGTGAACAAATGGTTCCAACATCCTGTAGTTTTATTATGTTTATAGATATTGGAAAAGTCACCTAAAACCACTGCTTTCAGATAAAGTCTGTCAAAGAAAGGATCATTTTGTAGGTGCCCCACATTGCCTAAGAAGGAGGGGAAGCAGCATCCACATTTGGGAGAGAGGGAGATGCAAAAATTTCTTAACAGTGAGGGTGACAGAGCCCTGGAACAGGCTGCCCAGAGAGGTTGTGGAGTCTCCTTCTCTGGAGATCTTCAAAACCCGCTTGGATGCAGTCCTGTGCCACGTGCTCTAGGTGTCCCTGCGTATGCAGGGGGGTTGGACTAGATGATCTCTAGAGGTCCCTTCCAACCCTAAGCATTCTATGATTCTATGATTCTATGATTTGCGGAGCTGTAGGCCTTCTTCCAAACGCTGCAGCCAGGATATTTCCCAGGCTGCTCCAGTGCAGCCACGGAGTTTTAGGATAAATCCTGTTGCATTCCATTCTTTCAGTTTAGTTTTCTAAATAACCGCCACCTGGAAACTTTCAGAGGTGCTTTGGAAAATGATCCCTTATATCTGAAAGCCCCGTTCCAAGCTCAGATCTTGGTGTCTCAGGCCGCAGTTTGAAGCGGAGCTCAGCCTGTGCTGCGGCTGCTGCTTCCTATCAACACCACCTCTTTTCCCCAAAGCCACTCGGAGGACTGCTTGCTACCAGAAAGAAATGGAGCTCAAGGTTTTATTAGTTCCAGTTGCCCTTTTTCTTTCTTCTTCCTTCACACAGACAGTTATAAAATGGAGTTCACCCTTCCAGTGAGATTTTCTGTGGAGCATCTGCAGAAACACAGTTCCCTTTCCCATGCCGATGTGCTGGGGGGCAACAGGCTGTGTGCTAAGAACAGAGTTAGTAAAAAGACGACCTCTTTTTGGACCGGCCTCATCTGTGCGATTTATGGGTAGTTTCACAGAGGAATATGCACAGGGCTACTGCTCCTCCCCACTGCTCCCCTGTGGGAGCGCTGGCTCCGTCCCTTCCCATACTGGGTCTGTTTGCTCTTTGCCTCACCGTGTCGAACGCGGCATTGTCTCCTTCTAACAGCGTTTCTCAAAACCATATTAAAATACTCTGCGCATCAGTAATGCACAATAATACCTATTCCGAAGAGTCCCCTGACTGCATAAATTATTATACATGGCAAGAAACTACTGTGGGATTAGCTGCTGACTGCAGATCCCATGCCAATGCTTTTCTTTCTGCAGTTCTGTGTAATTTAATGTGTCAATAGCATTGCTGGTAAAACATGATAAAATTTTATATGGCAGTATTACTCATAATGTACTGCATATTTATGTGTGAATGGTATTACTCCTAAATATAAACAGATTTTTCAAGACAGATTTCAGTAAATGACTTTCTGAAATCTTGCTTTTTCATACATATTTCAGTAATGATTTCTTTTTCTTGCAGACAAAATTGAAGAAGCACAAAAACAACTTAATGGAACAGAAGACCAACAGAGAGGTAATAAACAAAAACAATATGAAGTAGAGAAAACACACTGTGATTGTACAGGCTGATCCAAAGCTTTTCTTTGGATCAGGGAAAAAGACTTCACTGGGCTGGGTACAGGATGTGGCCCAAGGGAATGTCGATGTGCCCATCAGGTGCTGTGATCTGTAGCACTCTGGTTTTGCTGAGGCACAGATGCTTTATTTTAACCACTCGAGTAGCTGCACTGACCTTGGTGAGACTGCTGAAGTGGCAGCGCTAGAGATGTTGCCTCGTTATTGACCGTAGCCTGTACTAACAGTTCGGTTCATAACCTGATTTAGCTAATCATTAATAACCATGTTTGGTCCATGACAAGCAATGGGTGCTGATTTCTAGCAGATGCTGAAAGGAGATTTATCATTCTGGTTATTTTAAGAAACAACTGACCTGTGACGGATTAAGTCTGTATGTTGGAGCTGAGAAAGCTGGTGGAGAGTTGTTGTATTTCAAGGCTGGCTGACGGCTGTAGTACCCCCTTTGAGTCCCTGGTCTTGTTCTGGGCAGGAGCTCACACCTCTCCGAATTGCGACTTGTCCTTCTGACCTGTGATGGGCCTGTGAACAGCACCATAAATTGCTGATGCTCTGTCATACAACCAGAGTTTATGTTTTGATATAATGAATTTCTAAACCTCTTGAAGATCATAGAACCTAAGAAACTGCCTACTAAATCTCACCAGTAGAAGGCAATAGGACCTGCTATTTATGGATGCCATTAGGACCTGCTATTTATGGATGCCATGTTGGGCTGGCCACTTTCTGCAATCTGTTCTCATGCTTCCCACATGATTGGATTAGGGATGTGTTCCCAGTCCCTTTAGTATCTAGATGTTTATAGACCTGTTGTCCATGAATTTGTGTAATTCTTTTCTTAACCTGCTTGCTTCCATCATTCTGTGGCAGCAACTTGCAGAAGCTCACTACTAATCACACTAAAAAGTGCATTCTTTTTTTTTTTCCTGTTTTCCTGCTTTGTTCAACAGGTGCTCTCCAGCTCAAGCACTGTGCAGTTTGTTAAAGAGCAGTTCTAATCTCACCTTTCCTACCACCTTCATGATTTTATAAACCTTGTCCCTATCCCCTCTTGGCTTTCTTTTCTCCACAATGAAGAGCTCCAGCATTTTTATGCTCCTTTAATATACCAGATACTCCACCCTCTTCATCATTTCAGTTGCCCTTCTCAGTCCTTTGTTCAGCTTCTCTATGTTCTTCAGATGCAGAGACCAGAATTGCAGCCAGTAATCAAGACGTAGGCATGTCGGTTTTGTGAAGTGGCAAGGGGAGAAACACTGTTTTGTTCTCATCGCTCTACTTGATGAAATAGAGGGTTTTTTGACCATTTTGGCTACCACCACACACTGAGCTGATGTTCTCAGAGAGCTGCTAGTGAAGACCAAGAGGTCTCTTTCCCGAGTTGCAGGTTTCCAGATCAGCACCATATAAATGTGGCTTCGATCTCCTCTTTTGCTGTAGAATTTGCTTAGTTATTATCACCTCTGATGAAAAGAATAGATTTGCAAACATTGTGAAGATGCTGAATGGCCTGGGCTACTAGTGTTTGTCACGTCCCCTGTCAGCTGGGAGGTGAAGAGACAGCAGAATTCAGGTCTTCCTGGTGCATTGCCATGTTCAAGTAGGCTTTTGTTGTGGAAGGGAAAAAAACACTTGCCTATTCTGGCCACAGTGATTATGATGTTTCCTTATGCATTTGTAAAAGGTGAGAGAAAAGAAAATAAGTGACCAAGTAATAAAAGCAGTGCTTCAAACATTTCAACAGCCAGACCTCCTCCTAAATAGACCCATTTCTGTTTAGTGGGTTGCGGGTAAGTGGGTATTGTCATTCAACCATAAATACTTGATGTATAAAGCATTAGTGACTGCTGCTGCTGTTGGTCTTGCAGAAGTAAACTAACCTCTCTTCCCAGGGGTTTGTTCTCAGCCATGTCCCAGTAACATGTTCATGATCCTGCACAAATGTATAGAACTACTCTAGTGTAAATTATGTACTCTGAAGTATGAGATTGCAGATTTTTATGTGAGGGCAGCACTCATCTTTGAAAGTCTCAGTTGTTAGAAATTTTGGCTTCTAATGTAAATTCATGTGGCTGTCAGTTGAAAAACAAATGTCTACATATAAATTTGTTTTAGAAATAATGGAAATAACTAGGCTTCTGTTTTCTTTTTCCGTTAGAAATGTCCTTCGCCATTTTTTAGTTTTGTTTCTTAAATATCTGAACACATAGTATTCTTGGTTATATGAAAGTGATTTATATGAAGCTTTAGAGTCTGAAAATATATTTATTGAGCTAAACAAGGAAAAATGTGGACATATTCACATAAATTATTTTAAGCAACTCCAATGTAGGAAGATTCACCTGAACTATGGATAAACACTTCACCTCTTTATTTATTTTGTCTTTCAGTTCATATAGATCACTTCCGATCTGTTTGTTTCCAATCTGAAATGAATAGGGAGTGTAATATCATGGAATTTATCACAAGTTAACCACTACTCTGTCAGTGCTGGGACTGTCAGTGGTATGGAGGAGGTATCCACACGTGTAAGGAGGAATTTTTTATACGTTTGCTCATGATAGGTTTTCCGCTAACTAATGTACGTTGACCAGTGACAACTTCACAAATGCGTGGAATTGTGAATAAACTTAGTTGACTGCAAAAAGATTTATTTAAATACCTTTTGCCATGAGCAGTAGTATTGCAATTAAGTGCATGCAAATTATGAAGTAGCTTCCTATTAAACAGTTATAGCTCCTTCTCTCTGAGGAGGTAGAAGATAAACAGACATAGTTTTTGAATTTGGTCTGATCAGCAGTTATTTAACATAAAGTTATAACTGGAAGGCTTTGTTTTTGTTTGTTTTTCTTGAGGGGGTAGGAAATGTGGATATTCTTTGTGTGGATATACAAATGCGCTGTCATCTGAGGCTAGAAACATTTTCCTCAGGGGCCATGGTCACTTCTGCCCTCCTTCCTGCTCGGTGAGTATGTGAGGTGAAGAATTCCTGGCATCATTTCTTTTTCTCGCAACTGCCCAGCTGCTGTTAAGAATTTTCAGTGCTAGCAGCTCTGCTTCTCTTTAGCTTGTATGACGTCTCCAAAGGCCATTTTACACCCTGCTGTGGGAGTTGAATTTCATCTTCAGACACACGTGCACAATATCCTTCGTGCCGTAGGGCAGCTCTTGTTCCCAGCAGGCGCTCCATGTGCTGGTGGTCTTAAAGCCTGGAAGGATTGGTGAGCTTAACTACAGGAAATTTCTCCTTGAGGAGACAGTGAAAGCTCTGATATAGGACCTAGTAGGTATCATGGGCTGGAGAGTAGTCAGCCAAATCTGAGAGCTTTGTCTTTCAGCTATCAATGTCTGTCCTCCTAAGAAATCCATCCCAAGTCTCTGTCTCCTCCCTTCCACACTGGTGAAGTCAAGTCCTTTCAGGTCCTTGTGGTTACCACAGAGACTTGTGATTTGGTCATCCGTTGGACCAGTTCAGCCCCTGAAGGCCAATATGAAGTGCTGTAGGCATCTGCTTTTCTCCTTATCCATCGCACCAATATTTCTTTATCCATTACAGCAGTTTGAGTCCCAGCTATATAAGCTCTGCCAACTGTCAGTGCATTCTCTAGTACAGGTGGTACTAACTTGGCTGGTAACTCCATACTTGGCACCAGCAGTGCTCAGACTTTTGTCTGAGTCTCCATCTCTGCTTCTGAAACTGCTGAGGGAGCTCGAGTTGGTAAGAAACTGCAGCAACACCAAGATGGTTTGTGTGACTGTGTCTCTGCCAGCGTGGGTCTCCATTTTGGCAGCTGTGTGCCCCCACGCAGACCGCAGAGCGGTCAGGGGCCGTCGCTCAGATGGTTGTTACCGTGTTAGTCTGGTTCTCCTTCAGAGAAACACAGCAAGCATCTCTTGTTCTAGAAGACAGGCACAGACCTCACTGAGAAGTCTCTTTCATCTTGGAAGTCTTGGAAGGTATTTAAGGGCTTGGTTTGGACTCCAGAAGAGTGAAAACAACCTCAGTAGCATGGTTGAAAAATACCTTTATTTCCAGCATTTGTCATGGGGCTGTCCAAAGCCCCTGCCTACACTTTCAGTGGGTGTTTGTCTTTCTGAAATCTTCAGGGTTCGGACATGTTCTGGTAGAGTGGTTCTGTAGCTGCTTTCTGCATGCAGGGCCATGAGACTCCCCATCCAGCAGTACATGTCACATGATGAGAACTGTGTGGAACCACCTACTGTGTGAATGTATGTTTGAACCATCATGTTCAAAAAAAGAATGAAGAAATGAAAGATTATTTATCAGCAATGCAAATCTTCTGAGATGGAGAATCCACGAACACATAGGTAATATATTGGCACAGAGGAGAGGCAACTGAAATGGTAGCCTTGTTTGCCCATCTGCTTTTCTTTTCTTTTTCTTTTTTTTTTTTAATTGGAATGTTATTTCTTCAGAAAATTGAACTGCACTGGAATTTAGGTGAGGAATTTTGGCTTTTAAAATGGAAGCATGGGATTTCAACTCAGAAATGCAGGGCCTGTTACAGATTCACTGTAGACATATTTTGTATCTGTGATTCCTTCCAACCCAACTTATCAACCCCTCTTATTAAAAGTAAACACCTTACTGACAAAAATATAGAGGGAGTTTCAGCTATGGTCTCCTTAATATACTAGTGTTCTCTTTAGTTAATCAAAATGTCACTTATATGTCGCCTTGATAAGGGTCGATGCCCTTTCAGAGTTGTTACATGCCAGCGATAGGTGACTCTGGTTTGCCCACCTGTAGTCCCAAAAGAGCGGGTGGATTCACTCCCTTTCCTGCCCTTCCCGTGGGCTCTGCTGAGTCCCCCCTTGCTGCCTCTGCTCCTCTCCCTGCCCAAAGGCAGGAGGGAGCCCTGCATGGGGATGTTCCTCGCAGCACGTTTCAGCAGCTGCGGTCAACACTCTGCTCTT